AGAAATGTTATCAAATGAACTTTAGCATATTTTCTTAATTATTTATTATTATATTATATTTGATATTTAGATTTATAGTAGTAGCAGAAAATAATGACAATTTTTTATTTTTTAGAAATCTTGTGATTAGATTTTAAATTCCATTACAACTATACCAAATAAAGTTTGAAATTTATTGTCACACATCTTACTAAATATAAACAGAAATTTTTGGCGCTCTTACTTTCCTAAATAGCTTTACTTGACGAACGTCGCTCCTTGGTTAAGTTTTTGTAGGAACGTAGAAATAACGAGGTTCCAAAGCTACAAAAAATAACTAGGTTCTCCACTAAAACATTATATAGATAGAGTACTCAACTTGAACAAACAGGTGATATAAAAATAAACAAACCTTCAGACCGGCCAAAACTTCTTAGCTTTGAACAAAAAAAAAACTTGAAAAAATAGTGAAAAAAAGAAGATCAGCAACGAGCAAAGAGTTAGCAGAAACCTTGAATAATGTATATTTCGGTCTTAATATTGCCCCTAGAACAGTTCGTGAGAACTTTCAAAATATTGGTTACAAGGTGATGATTCCTCATGCAGTTTCTCTTCTCAAGAAAGAGGCTATGATTCGTCGGGTCCTTTGGGTGCGCAGATATAGAAAAAGACTATGAAATAAAACTATTTTCTCTGATGAAGCAACCTTTCAAATATTTAGAAATACTGTTAAGGTTCATTACAAGAGTGGTGAACTGGTCCCAACTCGAGTAGTCATAAAACACCCATATAAAGTTCATGTATGGAGAGCATTTTATGCAAAAAAAACTATTGGATTTCATGTGTTTACTGGTATTATGAATGGTGAACAATATCACGAAATTTTGATGAACTATTTATTTGATCAAGCAAACATAGCCTTGGGAGACAGGTGGACCTTCCAACAGGATAATGATCCTAAGCATACTGCTAAACTTATAAAGGTTTTGTTAGAAGATCAATATCCACATGTTCTTAACTAGCCCTCATCTACTCCTAACCTCAATCTAATTAAAAATCTCTGGGCTATTATGAAGCTTAGGGTCGAGAGGAAGGTAAACTTAGCAATTCATGAAAAAAAAACTGTCTCCCAAGAGTTTTTTAAATCATTAATCGAAGAAGAATAGTATAAAATAGATGAGAGTCTTTGTTCTAAATTAGTTAAAACCATGTCGGAATAGCTTAAATTAGTTATTGATAAAGGTGGGCATACAATTAATTATTAGAAGTTCAAATATATGTTTTAGGCTCACTTTTGTTAAAATTTTATAAAATTTAAATAAAAGTTTTTTTGAACTACGCCTTTTCACGTGATTGTTATTATTTTCCACCACTACTGTATATATTAGCATTTCTTTCAAATTCTTAATAGCTAAAAATAGATTTAGATTATACCATTCAATATAGCTCGATTAGACCTTCAAAACAAGCTATAAATCATATCTGTAGTATATGTAGTTTTTGAGTTATCTTAGAATTTATATTTTGAGTAACATCTATGTTTGATGATATTTGATAATGTTTAACTACATTTAACTATAATTGATGATGTTTGGTTAAATTTGATGATATTTAACTACATTTGAGAATGTTTAGAAAAAAAGATATATAAACTCGAGCTTACTCTTTCATGTAGATTCTAAAACTATATTATGGAACAGAGTAAAAAATAATAAAACCTTATAAAAACCTCTTTAAATAATTAAATAAATAACAAAATAGGTCACAAATGAAAGCTACAATACTATATACTTCCACTATCTAATGACAATACTATAAACTCACCAAATACAAACAAAAATATACCAAACAACAAGCTCCGATCCTCTTTGAACTCAGTCTTATCTTACTCTATACTAACTAAAAAACATGGAGAAAACACTAACTCAACACCAAAATACTGTAAACTAAGAACAAATAGAAGAAATTGAGCTAACACCTGACAACTTCTCCAAAAAACGACGCTATAACAACTTTAGTTACAAAAATAATTTTTCTGCAAAAACAAAAAGTGAGCAATCTAGCTTACTTCTATCAGAATCTACAATGACATCATTTGTTACACACAGAAACTGTGAGAACTTCTAACACAACAAATGACCAAATTAGGGAATATAACAACAGATCTACTGCAAAAACAAACTCAGATGCAACAGATAATATAACTCATGTAGCTTCTAAAAATAGAAGTGACTCTACTCAGTCTACTAGTTCTAATAATAATCACTAATCTTATAGCCAAGCACTTAAAACTAACTTACAACCAGATCTATTCCTAACTGATAATGATCTGCTAAATACCTATGAAACTGACTGGACTCAACATATCACTCAAGCACTAGAAAACAAATTACAAAACAAGTTCGATAATGAACTGTGGCTAAAAGACAAAATCATAGAAGCCTTTGAAAACTTAACTCTAATATTAGAATTCATTCAATACAAATTGTTAACGCTACCTACTGAATATGCTATCTCCAATGCAATATCGCTAAAATTTTTTTATAAAGATCTGGCTTTTTTTAGGTTCTTTACTAACGACAAACGCATGATATCTGCTACTTATCCAAGCTATTAATACATACAAATCTAAAAACAACATAATCCTAACAAACAAAGCAACTAAAGATGCAATTCAATCTAAGCTTAGACAAAAAATTGCAATTGACTACCTTACTAACCTTAACTTTAGACATATAGAACCTTATCATGTATCTCAAATGATCAAATACTGTAGAAACTTTGTGAAAGTAAAACTTATTGAAAACCCCAAGGTAATACAAGATATTACAAACTAGGTCTACAATTCTCTCAAAAAGATACTACTAGAAACACCACAAAAAATTGATACTGAAACTACAGAAATACTACTATTCAACCTTCCTATTACCAAATGATCACAAACAAGAGTAATTGTTAAAGCATTACGACTAATCTACAAATTTAATACTTTACCAGAATCATACTTTACCAAACTACCTAAACTACCAGAATACTCTAATCAGATAACAGAAGAAAAACTTAAGAACCTATTTCTTATTACTAATTCTAGCCAACTATCATGACTTGGTGTATACAAATAGAAACTAGCAGACTACTATAATCTTGAAAGAATTCCTTCAAGCTACTTTAATCTACTACCACTAAAGCAATTCCTTCCAACAACTTATCAAGAACTTAATAGCTACATTCGATACCTTTTCCTAATAGATCTTAATAGTAGCAATATCTCATTATAACAAATAGTTTTTTTGCTCAGAGAATACTACAAATTCAAAGCAATTCCTAACGATTTCTTTAAACAGAAGCCCATATTACCAAAACAACCACAAGATATAAAAATTAAAACAGAATACATGTATCTAATTACAGATGATAATATAGCAAAGGAATTCTTAATAGCTGCTAGCTCCAAATACAAGATAACCTTTCCTATTAGTCCAGAGATCATGACTGTGAATCCTACTAATAAACCTAGACTTCTATCTAACTCAGATGAAATTAAAGACTTCAATCTAATGATCCTTATATCATCAATATGCCAACTCGTTGATACAGCAAGAATGCTCAGATCTTATTACTACTTTAACAAAATTCCTAATACTTGGATCAAAATAAATCAAAACATAAAAGAAGATTCTCAAATTACACTAGCTTCTAATCAAGTTACTAAATCCTACATATCAGCTACACTAGTTTAACTCCAAGAAGTACTAGAAAAAACTGAAGAGGAAATACACATTATACTACCTATTAAGAAACAAGAAGATATTCTATCTACACTTGCAACACTAAGACAATACTTCGAAATAGCAAAAATTCCAGAATACTTACTCAACTTACCCCCATTCTCAGAACCAATATAGGATATCTTCAACTAATTCATATTATGACAAGTATACACCAAAGAAAAGAAAAAAAACTAAACACATAATTTAACATCTACTCATATCTCAACAAATAATGAATTTAATATACTAACAATAGCAACCCATAATGTACAAGAAATCAATGATCCTTTAAAATTTCAAACTTGAATAGAATACTGTAATGAAAAGAACTACAATATAATTAGCATGACAGAGACAAAGATTGCTAATTCCAAATTTAACAAGCTACAATTTACTAACTCTTATTACTATATCTACATATCAAACTGCAACAAAACAATAGCAAAAAAACAAGAATCAAACATGGGAACTGCAATAGCAATCTCCAAATCTCTCCAACTATATATACACAATATCCAAACTAAACTAGACACCACTATTCTAATTGACTTTTTCTTCCCACAAAATCAAAGACTTCGAATAATCTCAGTTTACCTCCCATCTAACAATACTTCACTAAATCTCTAAACCTAACAAAAGATTACTAATTAGATCAGTTATGCAAGCATATACAACTTTGAGGCTATTATTCTTAGAGACTTTAATTCAGACGTAAATAAGCATAACAAACCCACTTTACAACTATTCAATACAATGAATACAAGGAATATGAAAAGTCTCCTAAAATACTTTAACATAAGCTTTCCTACATAGTCAAGATCCTCTTCAAATAGCCAGATTGATGATATATAGATTTCATCAACTTTAATATCTATAATATCTACACTAGAATTAACTACTGCTAAACTGATCACAAATAGTGACTACAAAATTATCCAAATTGAATAGCACCCTAAAACACATATTCAAAAATATAGAACAAAGAAAAACAAATGATATATCTTCTTATATGACAAAATAACAACAGATACTTGAATTGATTTCTCACAAGTATAAACAAATTCCTCAAATCATACGAAGAAGAATTAAATTCAGATATCAAAACAGACACACAACTTAATAAATATTGGCATCTACTTAACCAAGCAATCAAACAAGTTGCTAACAACAATATTCCTCAAACCAAAGTTGTATCTAAAACTCACCATGCTTTCATGAAGAAGGCAACACATCTATACACAGCATTACAAAAAATTAACAAAGTAATTAGAACCCTTCAACATACGCCAAATCTAAATTCTACTCAACTCATATCAATTAATACAAATATTCGTGATATAAACAAACATGCTAATCTATCGATCCTTACAGTAACTGGAAATCTAGCTACAAATGAAGTATCTCTATCCTTCCTCTCAACATTAAAACAAATACAAAAAACTATATACCAAGCCAGAAAACTAGAGAACAACATCACATACACATAAAAAATCAATAAGCATATACTCAACTGACAAAACAACTTTTCCATAAATACAACAAAAATGATCGATAGTGTCCTTCAAAGACACATAAATGCAGTAATCCTACACAATATTACTAAACCTAATGAGATTATTACAGAACCAAATGAAATAAAAGAAGAAATCAGAAAATACTTCGAAAGCTGGACCAAACCTAATACACCAAACTATGATTACTAGCCTGCATAGGAAAAAGACTACTAACCACAAAACTCAATTAATACATCATAGTATATTAAACTATCTAATTCTATAACTCTACAAGAACTCCAAAACTGCATAAAAGAATCACCCCTTAGAAAAGCTACTGGTCCTCAACAGATATCAAATGAAATGCTAAAACATCTCAATAATACTACAACAATACTATTACTTTGAATCCTAAATGCATGTCTAAGCTTACAGAAAATCTCTAAGATGTAGAAGAAAAGCAACATATATCTAATCTCAAAAAAGAAAAACTTCAATGGCCAACTTAATACTACTAGACCTATTTCACTCATAGAATATACAAAAAAAATCTTTACAAAGATCATCACAAAAGATTAAACTTTGTATTAGCAAATACTCCATTTTGTATCACAGCAATCACGTGGCACTTTCTAACACTTCTACAGAAATACCTATTGCTACTATTATGCATATAATTGAAGACTCATAACTAAAAAACAAAGAGCTATGGCTTCTCAGCCAAGATATATTAAAAGCATATGACTCTGTACATATTCC